TCGGCTACTTTAGCTGGTTACGGGTGGGAGGCAGGGAATCAGAATTTAATACCTTGCATGTGTGACTCAGAATTCCTAGCTTCTGGTACGGCCATGCTTGGGTTTCCAAGGAGCAGTTTATTATTAGAGTTTGCCCTCTAGCGGATTTGATGCTCATACAAAGATTTTTGACCGTAACCCAAGCTGAAATGCAGTGGAAGGCACTAATCGCAGCAAAGCATCTGCACTGTTGCAGATGCTTCCAACTCTCCCCAAACATGTCTGAATCACCAGCAGAAAAAGTTGCACCAGCTCAGTGAACTGGTTCACCTTTCCTTTGCTGATACAGCAGTGCTGCTTCCCATGATATTTAGGCTATGTTTTAACCCAGGAGATCACACAGTTACTTCGCATGCAGGTGGAAAAGGTTTTAGGAGAAGTACATAGCATGTCAGTCCTGCCCAGATCTCCTGTAGCGTCTGACCCACAGGATTCTAGGCATCCAAGCTACATCCTTCCTGCTTGATACCTACTTTTCTACGGTCAATGAATGTTTTGGATTTAAGAGCACAGGAAACTGCTTTAATTGAATCATAGAACTGAAGAGTTGAAAGGGAACATGAGGGTCATCTAGTGAAACCCTCTATGATGCAGGAATCTTTCGTCCAATGTGGGGCTCAAACCGACGGCCCTGAGATTAATAGTTTTGTGTTCTGTCGACTGAGCTATGGCAGCACAGTCCATCCCAACCAAATACTATCTGCCATGACTGACACTGCCTTTCTGGGGTCTCAGGCAGAGTTCTTTCCTATCACCTGCTACCCAAACCTTTTCTGTATGTGTATAGCAACTTGAACCAGGATTTCTAAATCCTGATCCCTCAGATATGGTCAGCTTCTCAGGAAAATTATGAGTTCCAAGCATATGAAACCATTTAGCAATTTCTACGCAATTCTGCTTACTTAAGTATTTTGCAAGCCTGCCTAATGGTGCATTTGCACTGCATGAAAAGGTAAAATTATGCAACAACAAGTTTCTGTGATCTGGTTTTTTTCCTACTGAAGCCTGCTTATCCTTGCGTGCCGGGCTGTCATAATTCATTTATACCTAGCCAATATCATACACTAATTACCCCAGGGCCATACATAAATAGTTGACTCACTTTGCTCTGGGCAAAAAAGCAAAGGCTCAGATATAAATGCAAGATGAGATTAGCTTGTAAAGTATGTTCACATTCAACACCGCATGAGACTGTGCAAACTTCCCAAAAGGTTCATGAAAGCAATGTAATTACGTTTTGTGGTTGTTGTTTTTTTGTGGTTTAAACTATGGGATTAATAGATTGTGTAAGACTCACACAACTCGGTCTTTGATCCATCAATTCTGCCAACTATGGTCATCCATGGAGGCCCATAGTAAACTTCTTGGATTGCAAAAGTGTACCTATCCATTCTGAAGGAAATCAGCCCTGAGTGCTCACTGGAAGGACAGATCCTGAAGCTGAGGCTCCAATACTTTGGCCACCTCATGAGAAGAGAAGACTCCCTGGAAAAGACCCTGATGTTGGGAAAGATGGAGGGCACACAAGGAGAAGGGGACGACAGAGGACGAGATGGTTGGGCAGTGTTCTCGAAGCTACCAGCATGAGTTTGACCAAACTGCAGTGGAAGACAGGAGGGCCTGGCGTACTCTGGTCCATGGGGTCACGGAGAGTCGGACACGACTAAATGACTAAACAACAACAACAACAACATCATTAGACACTCAGAAAGCCACAATACATAGGAAGCTGCCTGATACAAAATCAAACCACTGGTGCATTTGGATCAGTAGCTGTCTAGGGTTTTCAGACAGGAATCTTCCCAAGGCATACAAGGAGATGCTGAGGATGAAGCCTGGGACTTTCTGCAAGCAAACCAATGCACTCTAGCACTACATTTTAGCCTTTTGCACTATACAGGGATGGTGGGCTGCTTTTGGTTTTGTAGCTCACCAGTTCTGTAGACTTGCCTTATGTGGTCATTTACTCAGCTCAGTCTTTCATCTATTATATTACTGCATAAAGGTAAAGGTAAAGGACTGCTGACAGTTAAGTCCAGTCGTGAACAACTCTGGGGTTGCGGCACTCATCTCGCTTTACTGGCCAAGGGAGCCGACGTACAGTCATGTGGCCAGCATGACTAAGCCGCTTCTGGCAAACCAGAGCAGTGCATGGAAACACTGTTTACCTTCCCGCTGGAGCGGTACCTATTTATCTACTTGCAGTTTGACGTGCTTTGAGCTGCTAGGTTGGCAGAAGCAGGGACCGAGCAACGGGAGCTCACCCCGTCGCAGGGATTCAAACCGCCGACCTTCTGATTGTCAAGCCCTAGGCTCTGTGGTTTAGACCACAGCGCCACCCGCATGCGTATTATGATAAAAAACCCAAACAAAAGCAATATAGAATCATTATTGTGCTCCCCACTTACTGGTGCCTTAATGAGGGTGGTTCTCCCCCCCTCAAACTAGCACTTTTGTTTAGGGATACTGAAGTCAAAAGACATTTTGTACCGAAAACACATCTAACCCAAGTGTTGCAAAACATCTGTTTAGGTATGAGCAGCCTGACATCCAAGCACATTTCCTTGGAACTAATTCCCACTGATTTTAACAGAACAGCTTATTTTCCAGTTAATTGGGTTTAGGATTGCCGCCTGCGAGTAAAATTTACAAGCTCAGGTGATTAAAACAATCAGAGACACCCTGTGATTTTTTATTTTTTTTCCAGGAGGGGCTTTCCAGCGAGCTCTTCCGTACGATGGGTTTAATTAAGGCAAAGTTGTGCTGCGAACGCTGCAGTGTGTTCCAACCGCTGAACGCAAAAGCCCATGGCAAATGCATATATTAAACCCCCCACAAGATTACACTCCTCCAAAGGCAGTCTGGATTGCAGTACTTATCATCAGTCAGCATCTGGCTCCAAAGGAGAATAGTAGTTATGAAAAGGGTTTGGTTCCTGCGCTCTGAAGTGCAACCGTTAGAAGCCACAGGGCTAACCACCAGTTACTTCATGTGTTTCCCCCCCCCCCTGGTGTGGCCATGGGGAGTTCATAACCTCTCTCTGGTTTTGCAAGTCGGGTGTGGCAAACCACCAGGGAGAGATGCTGAGAGCATGCACCCCTTCTTGGCCCCGTGCCTTCTACCCTCGGTTTCCAAGGTCTGTTCCAAGTGGCCTTGGGGTTCCTGGGAAGCCTTGTCGTGGGTGATCAGGGGCAACCTTTGCTGAAAGGCAGCTTACCCACCACTTACCAACCCTCCCCTAAGTGTGCAGCCACAGGGCAATGCCGGGTGTGGTCTGAAGGTTCACTCTCAGTTCAGGCGCGGCTACCCTGAAGCCCAAGAGGCTGTGACCTGCCTGAACTAAGAGGGTGGCCCAGAATGCTCCACAGGAACCTCTGCAACACACTGGGGAGGGGTCTGTGGCAAAGGAACGGGGGCTCCTCCTCAGCAGGCAAGAGAATGCTTTTGGGATCCCTGAGGCCAAAAATAGGAAAGGCGAAGCGTTGGTTAAAGAGGCATTCAGAACAAAGGACACAAGCGTTAGGAAGAGGCACGTTTATGAGCGTTTGCTTGCTAGAGTTTGGCTTGCACACACCAGCCCCCTTCGGATGGTACTTAAGTGAAGGGGGCTATGGGTTCAAATGGAAGCATCCCTGCCCCCAACATTCATGTGTTGAGCATTGGTGTCAAGGTCAGGTCAAGCAGCATTTCCCTGCTTCTCTTTCATTGCTCAGACTCCCTTTGCGTAAGGGGCTTCTATTCTGACAGTAACTTTAATCACTTGGAATGCTGATACTTCCCCCCCCCCTTTCCCCTACCCAGCTCCATACATATTCTCCTCTTGTTTTGCTCAGATGGAAGTTCAGGACTTTTATCCAGGTCCTCTGAAGATGGTGAGACAAAACATTTGCTTTGTTATAGGTAAGGTAAAGGTAAAGGGACCCCTGACCATTAGGTCCAGTCATGACCGACTCTGGGGTTGCGGCGCTCATCTCGCTTTATTTGCCGAGGGAGCCGGCATGTGGCCAGCATGACTAAGCCGCTTCTGGCGAACCAGAGCAGTGCACAGAAACGCCGTTTACCTTCCCGCCGGAGCGGTACCTATTTATCTACTTGCACTTTGACGTGCTTTCAAACTGCTAGGTTCGAACTGCTAAGTCCTAGGCTCTGTGGTTTAACCCACAGCGCCACCCGCGTCCCGCTCATTATAGGTGGCGATGGATTAATCTACCAGTTCCCGTTTATTTGTTTTCCAGTTCTCCCTATTTCCACATCAGTTTTCAATTTTTAAAGAAAGGAAAGGTTGTACACATTTTCCTTAACATAATGCATTTTTGTACATTATTTTCACCAATACAAGCTTATTTGTGTGCATTTCCCCCTAATATAATATAATTGTATGTTTTTCATTGTGGTTGGAGAACTACACTGCAAAACTTTGAGAACTACAAATTTTGAAGGATGGCTTCATTTCAGATCACATACTGGTTTAGGAAATGTGAATCAGGTAGGTTCACATTAAAATGAAAACTGAATTAATTCCTCCCCCACAGTTACACCCTACCTTCTCTTCCCCATATGATCGGCCCTCCAGATGTTTTTGGCCTACAACTCCCATGATCCCTAGCTAGCAGGACCAGTGGTCAGGGATGATGGGAACTGTAGTCTCAAAACATCTGGAGGGCCTAGGGCAAAAATAATACTTCTGATTTTTCAGAGTTTGACCTTAACCGAGAAAGAACAGGAACAACAGAGGTGTGCCCACAATGAAGGAAAACCTCTGATTCTAAAATCACATGATGCTGGGAAGCTTAATAACCCCCAGGGCTATATGTTGAAAATAATTACTGTTTATTACACAGTGGTGAAAGCTCATTAATGTTTACTGTGCACTTTCATCATGTCAAAAATAGAACGTGCCCGCTGAGAGACACTGCTGCTAACACCATCCATACAGCGAAAACCTTTGGCAAAACCCTTACCTGTGTGCGTCCTTCGGTGAGCCTTCAGGTGGGAGCTTTTCGTGTACACCTTGTTGCACCCTTCAAAATCACATCTGTGGATGCGGCGCTTTCTAGAGTCAGGCGATTCGGACCTTCTCTGGCGCCTTGTGCTCTCAATACTAAACGGCGAAATTGAACTGCGAGGCAGAAGAAGAAAAAGCAGCAGGTTAATGACCGTCTGTGCCCTTTGCTGCAAATAATGGCAGAATGCAAGAGCTTTCGTTCTTTAATTGAAAATCACAGGAATTATCTCTGAAATGTTGATAGTTAAAGACTGGTTTCAAAACACAACTTTTCTTCCCTTACCATATCTCTGTTCATAAAGTTCAACGAGATAGGACACTTATTTTTGTGTGGCTAGAAACTCCCTTTCCCCACAGAAGCCTTGCACAACATGTGACCCATGGAATCAAGCTTAGTGTACCAGCCATCCCTAAACTGTTTCTGCTATCTACAGTGGTACCTCGCAAGACGAATGCCTCGCAAGACGGAAAACTCGCAAGACGAAAGGGTTTTTGGTTTTTTGAGCTGCTTCACATGACGATTTTCCCTATGGGCTTGCTTCGCAAGACGGAAACGTCTTCCAAGTTTGTTTCCTTTTTCTTAACACCGTTAATACAGTTGCGACTTGACTTCGAGGAGCAACTCATAGCACGCGGTGTGGTAGCCTTTTTTTGAGGTTTTTGAAGAATTTGTTGATTTTTGAAGCTTTTCCAAAACTTTTCCGACACCGTGCTTCGCAAGACGAAAAAAATCGCAAGACGACAAAACTCACAGAACGAATTAATTTCGTCTTGCGAGGCACCACTGTACGTGGGACTGCAAAACAGGGGTAGGAAGGGTATCACATTGGCTGGTGAACTGAGTTCGAATCAACAGATCACAAGATGTGCAGGCCTGCTCTGGAGGCTGCTCACAAGATAAACCAATGCATGGATTTATTTCTCCCCTTCAAGCAACACCATATTTTAAAATCTGGGTGAGCATTTAATAGCCGAGACGGATGGCTAATATAAACCCAGGAGTTAAGCTCAAATACTCAGGCCATTCTATTTTGAGAAAAGATGGGTAAGAAAACATCACTTTCCAATTAGCTGTAGGGTTTCCGGAGATACAATATTTTATGAGTGAAAGCGACGTAAGATATAAAGGAAAACAGGGGGGGAAACAGCCAACTCCTTAAAAGGAAATAATATCTGATACTACATGCCTGTTCATGCAAGAATCTTGTTCATGCCTAGTCATGTAAGATTCAAACAAGAACTATTTCACTAGTTCTAAGACACTTCTCTCTCTTCTCCCTTAGTTAAGGGATTAGTAAGCGGTTGATTCATGCAAATAACAAATGAATTTTGTCGAAATGACAAATCGGATTATACTAAAGCTAGAAGCAGATCAGTCTTCATGTGCTCCTTCCATGCGAACACGAATTCAGGGACTGAGAACCCGTTGCCTTCTGGACTAGCTGAAATAATGCTTTAATTGAAACTGCTTTTAAAATGTCATTAATTGTTTTGGGTTGTTTTGTTTCTGAATTGTGAATGTGTTTGCTGTCCCAGGTTCTTCAGGTGGAAGGATCAAATGTAAATAATAAGGTAAAAGGTAAAGGACCCCTGAATGGTTAAGTCTAGTCAAAGGTGACTATGGGGTGCAGCACTCATCTCGCTTTCAGACAGCTTTCCAGGTCATGTGGCCAGCATGACTAAACCGCTTCTGGTGCAACGGGACGAATGCCTGAGCGTACGGAAATAGTGTTTACCTTCCCACCGCAGTGGTACCTAGTTATGTACTTGCACTGGCGTGCTTCTGAACTGTTAGGTTGGCAGGAGCTGGGACAGAGCAATGGGAGCTCACCCCGTCGCGTGGATTCGAACTGCTGATCTTCTGATCGGCAAGCCCAAGAGGCTCAGTGGTTTAGACCACAGCGCCACCCGTTCCCTCCATAATAATAAATAAAGAACTCTAATAAATCCCAGGCAGTGTGGCCAGTGGACACAGATAATGTGAACTTTAGACCCACAAAATCTGGAGGGCCACAAGCCTTTCCCATCTCTGCACCAGAAGCACAAAAAAGGGGGTAGAATTGTGCCTGATGACCCTGTGCAATGTTGCTGACTCCACCCGCAAACATCTACCCAGTAAGCGGTAGGCTTCCTCACAGTTGGAAACACCAATGCTTCTCTTTGCACGCATCCTGTTCAGTGCTCATTGCTGGAGGGGGGGAGCCAGTGGGTGGGATCACATCTGGATGAAATATGGTGATGTCATGGCACTGAGGGTACCCCAGCTGTTGCTCCACTTCACTGGTGGCTATTTTATAATCACAGCTGTCAGTTCACTGTTCACCACCTTGAATTTCTTAAGAAAAATAGGTAGCATAAAAGTTTCGAAAAAGACAAATGCATTCCTAAATGCCAGTGGGTTGCCATCGCTTGTTTTCATTTGCTAGGAACTAAGGGAAAAAATGGGACGCGGGTGGCACTGTGGGTTAAACCACAGAGCCTAGGATTTGCCGATCAAAAGGTCGGCGGTTTGAATCCCTGCGACGGGGTGAGCTCCCGTTGCTCAGTCCCTGCTCCTGCCAACCTAGCAGTTCAAAAGCACATCAAAGTGCAAGTAGATAAATAGGTACTGCTCCGGCGGGAAGGTAAATGGCATTTCCGTGTGCTGCTCTACTTCGCCAGAAGTGGCTTAGTCATGCTGGCCACATGACCCGGAAGCTGTACACCGGCTCCCTCGGCCAGTAAAGTGAGATAAGCAGTGCAACCCCAGAGTCATCCGCGACTGGACCTAACAGTCAGGGGTCCCTATACCTTTAAGGGAAAAAATGAGGAAGAGGAGGAGGGAAGCGAGTCCTGCTGGTTTCAGCAGAAGCCGTGCGATTTCCCAATATTTCCAGCCTTATTCTAATCAAATTTGTCAGTTTGATCAATTCATTTGTTCCTTGCATGAGTTAAAGAGTTGCTAACCTTGGGGAATGCTTTCTGTTTATGAGTGATTTCTCCCCTTGGCAACTTCAGATAGCGTTACTGCATATGATATCTGGTAATCCGCTTTCTAGTTATTACCTTTCCCTTTTTTTGCAGTGCTATCACACGCAGCTACTACGCGATCACTGTGTTACAGTCCCTGCTTCTCCTGTCCTTTTCAGTGTAGCTAATGATAAATGCCATTCATATAATATTGCTGAAAGGGGGCACACAATCTAGCCGAACAGGAAGCAGCAGCCCAGGGCTGGCCTTCCTTTCCCACAGTGGTTTGAATTAAACACAGTCCAATTATTAGATGTTATTCACAATACGGAAAGGGTGAATTAGAAAGGGCTACGGAGAAGTCGTGGAGCATTTGTTGTTTGCTGCCAAAATGTTAAGTTGTAAAAATAAAGAAATAAAAGCCCAGGAGAAAAATGAGAAAGTTATCAGTGGAGGAGTGATGGAGGAAGTTTGAAATATAACATCAATAAGCAAACCTGTAGCTTAGCAACAACAGTTAGTATATTAGAAATGTGGTAGCCATTTATGCTTTACTGGGACAAACCAAGACAGAATAACTTTTATGTCCACAAGTATTAGGTTATCTAAAAATTGTTATCTTTGGTATGCAATGTATGCATTTAACATATTTCTAATGTTAAAGGGGTCTACATAAAAGGTGATTATGTCTAGAGATAAAAGCTGAAGTCAATGAATAAAAAAACCATAATGTTTAGATATGAGTTGTGGAGTTGGAAGGGAGCACAAGGGGTCATCTAGTCCAACCCCCTGCCACACAGGACTCTTTTGCCCAACTTGGGGCTCGAACCCACAACCCGGAGATGTTCTACCAACAGAACTATACCTAACAACTAAACTGTTGTTGTTTAGTCATTTAGTCGTGTCCGACTCTTTGTGACCCCATGGACCAGAGCACGCCAGGCACTCCTGTCTTCCACTGCCTCCCACAGTTTGGTCAGACTCATGTTGGTAGCTTCAAGAACACTGTCCAACCATCTCGTCCTCCGTCGTCCCCTTCTCCTTGTGCCCTCCATCTTTCCCAACATCAGGGTCTTTTCCAGGGAGTCTTCTCTTCTCATGAGGTGGCCAAAGTATTGGAGCCTCAGCTTCACGATCTGTCCTTCCAGTGAGCACTCAGGGCTAATTTCCTCAAGAATGGATGCGTTTGATCTTCTTGCAGTCCATGGGACTCTCAAGAGTCTCCTCCAGCACCATAATTCAAAAGCATCCATTCTTCGGCGATCAACCTTCTTTATGGTCCAGCTCTCTCTCAGAGCTGAGAACAACCAAACTAGGTTCCCCAAATCATTTGATGCCTAGGGCATAACTTGTTTCTGGACTAACATCAGAAGTAGAACTCACTATGACAGTCACAACAGATGTAGATATTTCTTCTTTGCAACACCAGGATAGCATCCTCCTCTTCCCCTTGTCCTATCAGCTGGGACTCAAGGATGGAACTGCTTCCTAGGCTGTGGCCCCTGTGTCTGACAGCTGTGGCATATCGTGCCAGGGAGGTTCAGCAGTAAAACTGCTAGCACGCTTGCAGACGCTAAGCAGGGTCTGGTGTGGTTTCAAATTGGATGGGGGACTGTGTGTTGAGATTTCTGCATTGCAAGGGGTTTGGACTCGATGACCCTTTGGGATCTCTTCCAACCCTATGATACCATGAACTGCAGTGTCTCCCTCCATAATGATGTCACTGCCCAAATCCTGGCTGGGGAATGGAGCAATGCTTCACTATGCTCTTATCCAGAACTCCATTCAACACAGTGATCTTCCCACAACACGCTGAATACGCCCCTTAGCCCTTCTAATGGCATACTGGGCAAAGCGTTTTGCAGTTGCCACCCTGAACGAATAAATGGCTTTCTTGCAAAACTGAAGGTGTGCATTTAGCCGCTAGGTGGAGTGAGAGATCTTCAAAACGAGCAACCAAAAAGTGGCTTCAAACAGACTGGCAATGTTATCTTTCCCTTTCTGTCAAAGATAAGGTGGTTCATGGAAAGCAAGGTTTCCCAGTCCTCTCCTCCCTATGTCAGTTACCTGCAACCCCCCCCAAAAGCCTCTCTCTCTCTCTCTCTCTCTCTCTGTGTGTGTGTGTGTGTGTCAGAGGCCCTCCCTTGAGCCAACCCTGCCACTAG